TATAGAGGTTTATAAAATCATGAGGGACATAAATCGTGTAAATAGCCTAGGCAACTTTCCAACAACTTCTGTTTTTGTTTCTGATTTACAGAATCCGCAGTTCTTTTGGTTTTTATTTAAGCAGGCGAGGTCTTTTCCCCGGGGTGGGGGATTCCAAAACTAGAGGGCATGGGTTTAAGGTGAGATGGGAAAGACATAAAAGAGACCTAAGGGGCAACATTTTCACACATTAAATTAATTTAGGATATCTAGTTGACATGGACATGTTGGTTTGAAGGGTCTGTTTCCATGCTGTATATCTCTATGACTCTATGAGAAGGGAGGAGAATGTAATTGATAAACATGTCAACCATGTTCAAATGGGGGAGCAGACTCGATGGGCTGAATGGTCGAATTCTACTCCTAAACTTTATGGTCTGTTCAGTCCCTGCCAAAGCTGTCGGCATAAAATAAACAGGCTTGTGTTTGACCAGTGTTTCATTTAAATGAGGAATGCTTTTCATCCCAGGGGACATGCATCGGTGGCTATTGTAGTGAACAACCTGGAATCTATCACATTATAACCTCAATGGAAAGTAACTTCTCTTTGATTGTTTCAGAAGCTGCAATCCATTCTTGACTCCAATACTATAGCTGCCTTTTATTCAAAAGCTCTCTATGAATTAAGTAAGATAGACTAATTTGGGGATTAACTTGATTTGCCATGTATATGTCATTTATGCACTTTCGAGCCAAAAGATTGCTCTTGTCTTCCTTGAATCCACAGTGATGCCTTGCTCTTGGCCAACTTTTTTATTCATTCACGGAATGAGGCCGTCACAGGTCAGGCCAGTATTTAGAGACAGGAACTGCCGATGCTGGAGAATCTGAGATAACAAGGTGTAGAGCTGGATGAACACAGCAGGCCAAGCAGCATCAGAGGAGCAGGTTTGTCTGTCTCCTCTCCACCTATCTGCTCCTTTATCCATCTTCCATCCGCCTCCCCCTCTCTCTATTTATTTCAGAATCCCCTTCCCCTCCCCCATTTCTGAAGAAGGGTCCAGACCCGAAACGTCAGCTTTCCTGCTCCTCTGATGCTGCTTGGCCTGCTGTGTTCATCCAGCTCTACGCCTTGTTATCTCAGGCCAGTATTTATTGCCCATCCCTAATTGCCCAGAAGACAGGCAACCAATGTGCTGTGAGTCTGGAGTTACATGTAGGCCAGACCAGGTAAGGATGGCAGTTTCCTTCCATAAAAGACATAAGCAAACCGAATGAGTTTTTCGGAAAATTGACAATGGATCTGTGGTCCTCATTAGTCTCTTCATTCTAGATTTTTACTGAATTCAAATTCTAACATCAGTCATGGTAGAATTTGAACGCAAGTCCCCAGAACATTACCTAGGTCTCTGGATGAACAGTTCAGTGATAATACCACGAGGCAGTAGGCTCCCATAATTGCCCCAGAAAAACAATCATGGTTCTACATAATTGGCATTTCCCATCATTTGTAAGATCTTTGTTCTATGGCACCTATGACATGTCCTTGATCCTTTTGTTAGGTTCCGTTTTCATTTTGCCATGTTCTAGCGCATGGGCAAATTACCACAAAGTTTACTTAAAGGATGAAATGTCAGTGAAACAATGCAAAAGATTCAGAATACCTCATTATTGAGCAGTAAATCATGCATTCATCTTTACAAAAAGTGGACACTGTACTTCAGAACAAATGCAGAAGAGAATCTTGATGAGAATTTGCAAAGCTATTCAACAGTTTAGGTAAACTGAAGCAAGAGTATCACATTTCTCTGCAAGAAGATTCTAGACCCATCTGCTATTGTACTCTGAGGAAAATTCCTCATCTTTTGATGGGAAAACTGAAGTCTCAGGTAGACAGCATGATTAAAATTGGAGTTATGTTGCCTGTGACAGAACTGATAACAATGATGCTAAGGGCTAGTAAACACTCCCCAGAAAATTGGAGAACTGTGTGCGGATCTCAGTTGAACAAAGTAGTTTGAAGCCTTAGGTGTCTGCTGAAGATAGTTTGGCAAAATTGGCAACAACTGCCTGTACTGCTCGCAAAACAAACCTTATCACTGTACTTAGGTACATGTAACAACAAAAAATCAAATCAAATCAAGTCAAAGTCTTCTCCTTTTCCAGATCTTTTGTTTCCCCTCAATGTCTTCTGAAGTCTTGACTTGCCACTGGACTCTTCCAGCATTATACTCAGCAGCACCTTTGAAACTTTCTAAAGTCCTGTCCCGCCCCTGGAGTCTTCCCTCTTCAGCTGTGTCCCTTAGCCTCTTTTCATGTCAGGTTTCTGGCTCTGCATATTAGCTCTGAGTGCTACCACCATGCTGTATCTTGTCCTTTAAGCCAACAGTGTGAGCTGCACAACGCGATACTAGTCTGGGCTTTGGGTGTCTGCACATACACATACCTGAAGCTGTTTCCACCTTACAACTAAGTAAGGCTCTTCAAATCTTTAAGTCCTGTTACACTCTTTCATTTACATCTGTAGGTTACCAAATCTAGCTCTCTCTGTCTTCTCTCTTCCTGATATCAGTCATATAAACAGCTGTATCATCATGACTTACAGCAAATCTCATTCCACAACAATGTACCTGTGATACAAATCTACAGCAATACCCTTGACTCTTCAAATGAGGGCTCTCATAGTGTAGTGGTAGTGTTCCTACCCCTGAACCAGGAGACCTGGGTTCAAGTCTCATCTGCTCCAGAGATATGTCATAACCATTTCTGAGCAGGTTGATTAGAAGCTAGTTGGATTTTGTCTCAAAGTTTATATGGAGCATCCTTAATTATAAGATGTTGACTCTTCAAGTGACCACCCAAGGTGCAGTGGGGAAAGTCCACTGTCTGAGGTCTTTCTGCCAGAGTTAAATGGGAGTCAGAGATAGTAGGAACTGCAGATGCTGGAGAATCCGAGACAACAAGGTGCAGGGCTGGATGAACACAGCAGGCCAAGCAGCATCATAGGAGCAGAGAGGCTGACGTTTCGGGCCTAGACCCTTCATCAGAAAAGGGGGAGGGTAAGGGGGTTTTGAAATAAATAGGGAGAGAGTGGGAGGCGGATAGAAGTGCAGTGGGAGAGAGATCCCTTGAGGTTTGTCCGGAGGGAGGAGGGTAACTTCTTCAGGTTAGGCATCCTTAGAAGAGGCTTCGCAGTGGGAGTCTGTTCAGTTATCAAACTCTCCCAGTGCCTCAAATATATGCAAATACAAGTAAGAGATGCCTTTGGGTTGATTGTTGGATACAGTCAAACTCCAAGGTTTGTTTGTCTTCTTCATATGCTACCTGTACAAAACCAAACTGCTTTAGTGACTATATGTATATGCAGTTTTTATGAATAAAGTATGTTTTGAAATAAAAAAGTGACCTCCCGAGCCATTCAGGTGAAAGGTTATTCAGAGCCAGCAACAAATGCTTGACTCATCAGAGACACCAACATCCCACCAACAAATAATGGAAACAAAACTTGGAATGCCTTAAAAGCACCACAATCATTTTAGCAGGGGCAAATCTGGAGGATATAATATTTCAAAGAACAAATGTTTCTGCCAATATTTTGAAGATTGGAAATGGTCTGAACTCTCCAGACACACTCGGGACTGGCCAAGAGTGGAGAATGAGGATTGAAATGTGCCACACAGGTATTAAAATCTCAGCTCTTGTGAGGAACTCTGACAAACAGTTTAAACAATTAATTTCAGGAAAAGCAACAGAGCCAGTGGCTATAACTTGGCATCTCTAAGGGTATGGAGCTGCCACAGGAAGCAGTGGAGGCGGGTACAATTACATTTAAAACGTATCTGGATGGGTACATGAATAGGAAGGGATTAGAGGGACTGAAAACAAAAAATGCTGGAGATCACAGCGGGTCAGACAGCATCCATTGAGAGAAAGCAAACTAACGTTTCGAGTCCAAATCTTTCTTCATCAGCTGAAGCTCTGATGAAGAGTCATCTAGCCTCGAAACGTTAGCTTGCTCTCTGTCCATGCATGCTGTCTGACCCGATGTGATCTACAGCATTTTTTGTTTTCAGTACCGATTCCATATCTTGTAGTAATTTGCTCGTACAAAGGGTTTATGGAGGGATACGGGCGAAATGGGACTAGATTAATTTAAGATATCTGGTCAGCATGGACGAGTTGGACCGAAGCGTCCGTTTCTGTGCTGTACAGCTCTATGACTCTGTACGTAAACCAGGAGAAATCAAGTCCAGTGGAGTGCAGAACTGTTTTCATTGACAAACCTGTATCTGTGTCGTGTTAACAAATGCCATATTAAAAACGGGCTTTAATGAAAAAGGGGACAGTTGGCGTCATTTCAGTTTGTCTTTGGTTGAACAATGTTGTAGGAACCCTGGGTCCATTTCGATGGAGGTTTAGGGGTGAGCTGTAGGATCCAGGATCCTACACAAGTTGACCCTTCGAAAGGACAGCCAGAATCAGGAGGAACATAACCAGATAAGGGGAACTCGCTGTCCAGGGCCAACTCAGGCTAATGCCTTCCTGACTGTGTGCAGCCGTGTCACAGAGAATACACAGGAGGTGGCGAGAGACAAGCAGCCTCTAGCTATGGATGCACCGTGACAGCCGGAGCAAGAGCTAACGAACCCAGAATGAGGGTCCTGGCTAAGGTGGGATCCTTTGAACTCACTGTCTCGCTGCTCAAGTTTGGAAATGTGCGAGATGGAGCTGCCCCGGTATGAGAGAGGGAGTCCCTTTCTCTCTCTGACTCACACGCACAGACCTGGGTACAAGTCTGACTCTGAGACATGCACCAGAAATAAAACACGCCCAAAACTCACCCAAAAAGCGTACAAATCGCTTCCACACACCCATCCCCGCCACAACCATGACACTGGCACCTGTATTAGTTTAGTTAGGATTGCCTAACTTACAGTAATTTGCAGTCCACGAGGTAAGATTTAAAAAGTAAATCGGATTTCAGTTGCACGGAAGCAACCAGCCCAACTTCTATCTCTTACCTGTTTCCTGAGTTGATGCTGATTGAGGCTTTCCAGGAGAGGATCATTGATTCCCTTCCTTGTCTCCTTTTCCCCCTCTCTCTCTCTCCCTGCTTGTGTCTAAGTGACAGCTCCCTGGACTAGTCCTTGCGCCTCCCTCTCCCCACTCCCGCTCGCTCAGCCTCTCTCTCCAGTCTCACGGTGATCGAAGGAACACATTCCAGCCTGAGCTCCCATCCTGGCAGATCCGGAAGGTGGGTGGTGGAAACAAAGGGAGAAAGGACTGTAACCCGGTAGGGACTGGCAGCATCGCTGGAAAGAGAGAGAGACAGGGAGCAATTCCAAAAATGCACACTAGGCATTCGGAGCGCTTTCAGAAATCGCTGATCGAAAGTGCATCGAAGGTGTTTTCTCTCTCTCCCAAAATCAACGAAAATGGTATTGAACGTATTTTCCAGCAAACTATATTTTTGTGTTTCAAACTAAGTTAGGGAGGTAATTTTAACTGCGGGGCAATGGTTGAACTAACTGTCCAACTGCAGCAGGCTCAATTTTCCTTTTTGCATAAGTAATTGGCAAAAGGGAAATCAGAGAGATGTATAATCACTGCCGAGTCAATATTGCCCATTTCACATACAGTGTTCAGTCTGGCATTGTTAGAGAGTCATAAGGAAACAGACCGTTCAGTCCAACCAGACTATGCCAAACATGATCCCAAACTAATCTAGTCCCACTTGCCTGCTCCTGGCACATATCCCTCCAAACCTTACCTACTCATGAACCTATCCAAATGTCTTTAAAACTTGTAATTAAACCTTCTTCCACCACTTCCTCAGGAAGTTTATTCCACACGCAAACTACCCTAAGTGTAACAAAAAATTGCCTGGTGTTTTTAAAGTTTGCTGAGTGAGGAGGGATTCAGTAACCATTTTGTCCGAACGCAGCCTCTGGGAAAGAGTGATCATATTATTTTTATATGTATGCTATTACATTGAGCTTGATGGTGACCAAATTAAATCCTAAACCTGAATAAAACAAGCTCCATAGATCTGAGGGCTGCTGCCTGACGTTTTTCTGGTATTTTCTGTTTTCATTTCAGATCACCAGCATCCAATGTCCTTTGTGTGTTTTAGGTATGAGGAGTAAATTGGCTGAGACAAATTGGGACACAAGATTAAGGTAAGACTGTAGGCAAGAAGTGACAAGCATTAAAACAATTCACAATTTGCAATGAATATACCCTTCTTTGAAGAATAAAACCTCATGAGAAAATTGGCCTATCTACGGCTAATGAGAGAAGTTAAAGAGAATATTGTGTTAAAGCAAGAAGCTGAAAATGTTGCTGAAAAGCACAAAATATCTAAGTATTAGGAGGAGTGTAGCATTGAGTAAAGGAGGACCAATACATTGATGGAGAAAACAAAGTGACTGGTCAAAGGTAGAACAACAGATGTTAAATGCTTTGATCGATGTGGAAAAAAGGAAGTGTTTGGCAAAAATAAATGTGGTTCCCCTGGAAATAGAGGCAGGAGAAATTATATTGAGAAATAAGGGAATACACACAGAAAATGGTATCTGTCTTCAAAGTAGAAGACAGAAAAATAATTTCAAAGATCATGGGAAAACTAAAGGTCTGGTGAAGCCAACTATTTGTCAAGAAATGTCATGCTGTACAAGTGAATGTGACGAAGCTGACAAATCCAATGATAATGCATCTGTGCCCAGAGCTCTAGGGTTTAAAAGAGGTGGTTACAGAGAAAGTAGGTGTGGTGGCTTTGATCTTCTAGAATTCCTTGGATTTTAGAATGGTCTCCCAGGATTGGAAGATAGCAAATGTAAATCAGCTTTTTAAGAAAGGAGGGAGAGAGAAAACTGGGAATAACAGGTCAGTTAGCCAGACATCGGTGGTAGGGAAAATGTTGGAATCAATTTATTAGGGATACAGTAATAGGGCATAGTGGATTGAGCAAAGCCAACAATGATTATGAAATGGGGTTGATGGAAAAAATGTTGGGGGGATGTTTCCACAGCATAGAGAGTCTACAAATAGGGGAACATGGTGTCAGAATTAGAGAGCTGCTCATTTAGTACTGAGGAGAATTTCAGGAAGATTGTGAATCTTTGGAATTGCCTCTACCAAAGGGATGTGGATATTCAGTTGTCAAATAACTTCAAGACAGATACTGATAAGGCACCAAGGAACATAGCATAGAATAGGAGGTGGAAATTTCTCAGTCATTCACAGGATGTAGACATTGACGGCAGTGCCAATATTTATCGTCCATTCCTAATTGCTCTCAAGAAGATTTGGTGAACTGTCTTCTTGAACTACTGTAATCATAGGAGCAGGGGTTAGAGACACCCACTGGGCTATTGGCAAGGGAGTTCCAGGATTTTAACCTAATGATAGTGAAGGAAGAGCAATATATGACAAAGTCAGGCTGATGTGTGGCTTGGAAGGGAACTTGCAGATGTTCTCATGTTTCTGCTACTTTTGCCCTTCTTGCTGAAAGAGATGAGAGTGTGGAAAGTGTTATTAAAAAGAGCTTTGGTGAGTAGCTGCATAGCTGTAGATATCACACTGCTGGCACTATGTATAGTGGTGAAGGGAGAGAATGTTTAAGATGGTGGATAGAGTGCCAATTAACTAGGCTGCCCATCTTGGGTGGCATTGAGCATCTTGAAAGTTGATGGATCTGCAAGTGGGATGGTAGATTTAAAACAGAGTTGAGAAGAAATTATTTCTCTCAAAGGGTTGTGAATCTGTGGAACTCACACCCCCAGAGTGGATGGAAGAGTGGCTCAGTGGTTAGCACTGCTGCCTCACAGTGCCAGGGACCTGGGTTCGATTCCTGCCTCAGGCGACTGTATGTGTGGAGTTTACCCTTCTCCCCATGTCTGTGTGAGTCTTCTCCACATTCCAAAGATGTACAGCTTAGGTGGATTGGTCATGGGAAATGCAGAGGTTGGGTTGGGTAGGGGAGGGTCTGGGTGAGATGCACTTCAGCAGGCAGGTGTGGACCAGATGGGCTGAATGACCTACTTCCACCCTGTAGGGATTCTGTGAGAGTGTGGTGAATGCTGGGATATTAAGTACATTTAAGGAGGATATAGACAGATTTTTAATTAGTAAAGGGTTATGGAGATCAGGCAGGAAAGTGCAGTTGAGGCTGAGATGGAATTAGCTATGATTGTATTAAATGGCAGATCAGGCTTGAGGAGCTGTTCCAAGTTCTTATGTTCACTCCTGACTTGTGAGTTGTAAACGGTGGACAGGCTTTGGTGAGTTAGGAAGTGAGTTAATCACCAGGGAATTCCTAGCCTCTGACCTGCTCTTGTAGCCACAGTACCTAAATGGTAAATCCAGTTCAGTTTCTGATCAGTGGTAACTACCGCTCTAATAGTGGGAATTCAGGAATGGTGACATTATTGAATATCAAGAGGCAGTGGTCAGATTCTCTCTTGTTGGCGATGCCTGGTAGTCAGGTAGTGCGACTACTTACCTGGATATTGTTCATGGCTTGCTGCATATGGGCATGGACTGCTTCAGCCTCTGAGGAGCTGCAAATGGGTGAATAGATGGCAAATGAAGTATAGTGTGAATAATATGTGGTTGTCTACTTTGGTGGCTGAAACAAGAAGGCAGATTATTATCTGAGCGGTGACAGCTTGGGGAAGGGGGAGATGAAACAAGACCTGGGTGTCCTTGTATGTCAGTCACTGAAGGTAAGCATGCAGGTGCACCAACAGTGAAGAAGGCAAATGGTATGTTGGCCTCTGTAGTGAGAGGGTTCAAGTCCAGGGGCAGGAACATCTTGCTACAAAGGTACAGGGTCTTGGTGGAACTAACCCCGGAGTACAGTGCGCAGTTTTGGTCTTCTTATCTGAGGAAGGATGTTCTGGCTATGGAGGGAGTGTAACTAAGATTTACCAGACTGATTCCTAGGATGGCAGGACTGATGTATAAAGAGAAATTAGATTGGTTTGGACTATATTCACTGGAGTTTAGAAAAATGAGGGGGAATGTCAAAGAAAATTATAAAATTCTAACAGGACAAGACAGGATAAACACAGGATAGTCCTGATGACTATGGAGTCTAAAACAAGGGATCATGGTTTGAGGATCTAGGGCAGGCTATTGAGGACTAAGAAGAGGAGAAATTTATTCACTCAGAGCATGGTGAGCCAACGGAAGTCACTACCACAGAAAGCAGTTGAAGCCAAAACATTGAACATTTTCAAGAAGGGGATAGATATATTTCTTAGGGCTAAAGGGATCAAAGCATATGGGGAGAAATTGGGAACAGTTGGATGATCAGCCATAATCATATTGAGTGGCACAGTAGATTTGAAGGGCTGAGTGGCCTACACCTCCTATTTCTATGTTTCTGTTACCATCCAAATCTGCCCTTATGATGGAGAGATGGTTATTAATGAAGTAGCTGAAAGTATTTGGGCCTAGGACACTCCCCTGAGGAACTCCTGCAGAGATGTCCTAGAGCTGAGATGACTGACCTCCTACAATGGCAACCACCTTCCTTTGTGCCAGGCATGACTCCAACTGTGGTGAGTTTTCCCAAATTTCCATTGGCTCCAGTTTTGCTCGGGTTCGCTGATGACACATTTTATTGAATGCTGCCAGTGGTGTCAAGGGCACCTCACCTCTGGAATTTAGCTCTTTTGTCCATGTTTGAACCAAGGTTATACTGAGGTCAAGAGCTGAGTGGCCCTGGCGGGATCAGGGAGTTGCAGTATAAAATAAACCATGATCTTGCTCAGTGACCTACTGCAGCTCATGTATTTACAATTAGACACAATCTGTCTCAGAAATAGATTTTAAATAAAGAACACGTAATTAATTGTGTAGACCTGGATACATTCACAGGGTGTACTTCTTTGCTCTGTGAATCTAATCTAGCAATGTGATGTTACCTTGTGAACTGAGCAGTTCTACATTATACCCTTACATTAATTCTAACTTTTAGCACATTTTCTGTACCCACAACTGAACTATCTCTAGATAGCATTTGATCCTGTCCCAAATTGTTTTGCAGCCAAGTATGTAACATAGATTTCCCAGATTAACTGCATGGAGATCAACAGTGTTGTACTGTTAATGAAACTCTTATCATTTTTATTTTTAAGCAGCTTCGTGAGAGTTTAGGAGAACTGAATATCATTAAAACATAATGTGGTACGGTGACTCAGTGGTTAGTACTGCTGCCTCACAACACCAGCGTCCCAGGTTTGATTCTAATCTTGGGCGACTGTCTATGTGAAGCTTGCACCTTCTTCCTGTGTCTGCATGGATTTCCTCTGGATGCTCCAGTTTCTTCCCACAGTCTAAAGATGTGCAAGGTAAGTGGATTGGCCATGCTAAAGTGCCACAGTGTCCAGAGATGTGCAGTTAAGTGGGTTAGCCACGGGAAACGCAGGGTTACAGGGATAGGCTGGAGGGTTGGGACTGGGTGGGATGCTTTTTGGAGGTTCAGTGTGGACTCGATGGGCCGAATGGTCTGCTTCCACATTGTAGGGATTCTATTCTAAATAATTCAGGAATGGCAGAACTGAGTGTGGGGAGAGACTGGATCGGTTAAGAATAATATTCACTGGGGTTTAGAAGAATGAGGGGGACCTCATAGAAACCTATAAAATTCTAACAGGACTAGTCAGGGCAAAAAAAGGAACGCTGTTCCCGATTACTGGAAGTCCAGAACCAAGGGTCACGGTCAAACAATATGGAGTAGGCCATTTAGGACTGAGATGAGGAGAAATTGCTTCACTCAGAGAGCAGTGAGCCTGTGGAATGCCACAGAAAGGATTTGAGACCAAAACACTGGATGTTTTGAGGAAGGAGTTAAATATAGTTCTTAGGGCTAAAGGACTCAAAGGGTACGGGGAGAAAAGAGGGGGCGACAGGGTACTGAGTTGGATGATCAGCCCTGATCATATTGAATGGGGGTGCCGTATTGAAGGGCCGAATAGCCTACTCCTGATCCAGTTTTCTTTATTTCTATGCTTTGGTGCAAGGTCATCCCTAAATATTAGCTTCACCTTCAGTAATCCAAATTTATGTGCACTTCAAAGATCTAATCATTCAAACATCGCTAAAGCTTAAATGATCTAATCATTCAAACATCACTAAAGCTTAAATGAAGAGTTTGTTATCTGCATCAGTA